TTCTTCAATAAAGCAACAACTTTCATAAGACAAAAATACTAAAGTTGGTTGGATTCTTCAATAAAGCAACAACTTTCATAAGACAAAAATACTAAAGTTGGTTGGATTCTTCAACAAAGCAACAACTTTCATAAGACAAAAATACTAAAGTTGGTTGTATTCTTCAACAAAGCAACAACTTTCATAAGACAACAATACTAAAGCTGGTTGGATTCTTCAACAAAGCAACAACTTTCATAAGACAACAATACTAAAGCTGGTTGGATTCTTCAACAAAGCAACAACTTTCATAAGACAACAATACTAAAGCTGGTTTATTTTGCTAAGGAAGAAGTTCCTTTAGAGGAAAGGCTTATTAAAGAAGATTGGTCTCCTTTTCGAAACAAGGATTTTTCTGAGACAAAAAAAAAGTTGGTTTCCTCAGCAAAATAACTTCTCTTTTATAAATAGCCTGTAAAGTTGGCTTACATAAAACCGAGAACTAACCTGAACCAAACGGATTTTAATATTGACATATCCAACATAGCGCTTATCAGTAGATTCGAAACAATATCTGCGACTAAACGTCACTATAATATTGTACCAATCACGTAACTCGTAATCTCACACATCTGATATACGGCCTTTAAGGTTGGTTTGTATGTTTCAGGTTAGTCACGAACTTTGGGGACATTATTATTTTGTGAAACATTTCCAATTTTGTTAACGATATTACTGATATTTACATATCTGAGAGAAGTTAAATATCGCTAGTGTTAAACGCAATTAATAGTATTTTTGTCGTTGTTTTTCTTTCAGACAAATCTCGTCACGAGACCGTTTTGCTACGCGGCAGGTAATTGGTTAAGATGTAGATAGGCGGTTAAAATTCTAACCTACCGAAAACGAAATTACGTCAGCTGTATTCTGACAAGAAAGTTAAAGAAAAAAACGTTGTTTCAGGCTTCGTTAAGCTGAGTATTATATATTGGAGTTCTGGTTTTGTTCTAAGCGTTAAAACATGGCGCAGGAAAGTTGAAAATCAGAATAAAGACAATTAGTCCGAGTTCACACATAAAAGAAATAACTTTTTATTTCATGATGTTTTTCATTTCTACTTAAACACGATAATCTCTTGAAAAAAGTTGAGGTTTTTTTTAATCGATTATGTGCGTCTGTTTTTCAAACAGACATTGTCAACAAAAATCATCATAACGTTATCTGGTTAATTATAGAAAGACAAATACGAGCAGTTTTGTAAGTTTAAAGTTAAACGAAATTATGAAAAATAAAATGAGAATCAGTTTGTTCCTCTATATTTTTATTCTTACGAAAGCAACTCTAAAACAGAAACCATAAAAAGACAGTGACACATTGAGTCACCAACTGAAAACAGAAACCATAAAAAGACAGTGACACATTGAGTTACCAACTGAAAACAGAAACCATAAAAAGACAGTGACACATTGAGTCACCAACTGAAAACAGAAACCTTAAAAAGACAGTGACACATTGAGTCACCAACTGAAACAGAAACCATAAAAGACAGTGACACATTGAGTCACCAACTGAAAACAGAAACCATAAAAAGACAGTGACACATTGAGTCACCAACTGAAAACAGAATTATTTTAAGAGTGTTTCTGTCTTCTGAAACGAATAATTGTTCTCTAAGTGAACGGTAAAAAATTACATCCCAAAAACCTGGAGAGGCTTTGTTTTTAGGGAGCTTTACTATATTTGAAATAACAATAAAAATATCGTATAATTCTAACTTTTAAGACCAAAAAAAAGGACATTTACCTGCTCTGCTGAGCCTAGGTACAATACGACACCAGTGAGGAACAGCAAGGTGCAGCTGTGGAGATACATAGCTCAGAGACGCTAGTTACTTCTATTCCTTACCTGTCGTTTTATAACTTATCGAAAGTTCGAGTCAGTCGAGGGTTTTTAAGAGCACAAACCACGCCTTCGTAGGCGGACAAACAGCCAATCAGATGTTTCTTGATTATACCTGTTAAGAAATCTTTACAGCAGGCGCTGACAACCTCCGCCCACGATTCGTGAAAATAGAGCAAAAATAATAAAGAAATTATCAAATCAAAAACTGATTTGATTTTTTTTCTCTTTACATGATCAAATAGTATTACGCTCCGTGCTATGATCGATTTTTTTATGTCATAAGCAGATAACTGTTTGCGTGGCAACGTTTATTGAGGACCTACTTCGTTGCTTTTAACATGTAATTTCTTCAAAATAAAACCTAATTTATTATTCAACACACCAGTTGTAACCGAGTCGTGCTTCTTACTGAAGAGTGTAGAATTCCCTGAAACCGGTATATCTCAGCGACAAGTGTTAAATCGAACGAATATATTAATAGAATTTTTCAAATTCTATATAGAATATATTCAATTTGTTGAGTAAAAAAACACTGCACATGTCATATAGCCACTTAGTGCATAATTATTCATTTTAACATATTTCCTACATCCGGTTCTGGTTTACCATCCTTCATACTTGTTTGTTTGTATTTTCTTCAATTTCTCGCAAAGCCACTAGAGGGCTATCTGTGCTACCCGTCCCTAATTTTGAAGTGATACACTAAAGTTAAGACAGCTAATCAACAACACCCACCGCCGGGCTACTCATTTACCAACGAATAGTGGGATTGACCGCCACATTATAAATTTCCCCTGTCTGAAAGGGCGAACATATTGGGTGACGGGATTCGAACCCACGACCTCCAGATCGGTAGTCGTTTACCCTAACCACCAGGCCATGCCAGGCTCCTTGGTACGGTAAAGACGATAAGTAGTTAGGGTTTAGTAGCAATCACTTAATTTTATCTGTTTTTATGATTATGGGTAGCATGAAAATGAATCGTACAAAACGTACGGATTTCGGATACGATACAAAAGTTAAGGCCGAGGATGATCTAGTGGTCTGCATGTCTGGGTTGTTTAATTCAAGGTGTTATGATTCATGTCTCGTTGACGCAAAAAAAAAAACAACGCAATCCGTACTTTGGGGTCATGGGTGGGCTATAAGACTGGCAATCCAGTTATATTATTTGGTCAGACAAGAGCAGCCCAAGAGCAGGCGATATGTGCTATGGATTAGCTGCCGTTCTTCTAATTTATCAGTTCAAAATTAAGGAAGGTTACGCCCAGATAACCGCTGTGGGGCTTTGGGCAAAAACTACAAAAAAATAAATAAAGACAAATAAACAGACTAACTCTAAAAATACGTACATTTAAAGGGGATATCTTTTTATTTCAACATGAACTGGACCCACAAGAAAGTTCTTGTATCCAACACGAAGAAGAAAGTTCTTGTATCCAACACGAAGAAAACAAAGATTGTAATTTATGTCAAATATACAGAAGTATGCTGATACAAGATTGCGTCTGTATAGACATTTCAAAAACCCAGGCCTTCAGAATGGAGTGTTAATACTTACTTTATCTGTTAAACGATAAACAATACGTTTTGATGTGGGTTTTTTATAACACAAACAACCCTCATTCTCCTGTTTACACACACACACACCGATGGCCACGTTTTCATTGGAAGAACGTTAAACACAAAATATTAAGCTACGCTTGGGTTTTTTTAAACAAAGTACTGTCAATTAATAATGTAAAGCTCAAAATATTATTTAAATTTCTCCACAACAATATTTTGTACAACTCTCTTGTTATTATTGAATTTTCTAGAGGTCTGCCGTGTTTCCTACGTGGCGTTTGCAGAAGATTTAACGTTATTTACTACTTATTGTAGCCAGCTTTATGTGTTGTGTTAAGTGTCAGGAGGTTAGATAAATTGTGAATGGTTGTGTTAAGACACACCTCGTGGTATATTTAACACGTTGATTTCGTTGATGATGAACAATACAACCACAGAAGTGAAGAATAACAACATAATTACCGAACGTTTCGGAATATACGCATTCCATCATCAGCAAATTCCTGAATGATAAATAAAATCATGTATACTGCCCTAAACATTTGTAAACGTTTCGGAATATACACATTCCATCATCAGCAAATTCCTGAATGATAAATAAAATCATGTATACTGCCCTAAACATTTGTAAGGGTAATGTTAAGACTCAAAGTATAGAGGGCTTGTAGAATCCAGCGAGTGAAATTGGATATAGACCCACAATAAAGGAATTAGAAAATTATCTACGTAGCTAGTGAGAAAAAAATAATACAAGTTTATCTCACCAGGAGTCGTGCATTTCTTCAAACTAGGGAGATTTTGTTAAATATAAAAAATTTTATAATGAAAAGTTCCCAATCTTTGTGGCCCATGGCTAAAATGTTAAAGCCAGCTGGGGCGATCTTGTGTCCAGTAATTTTACTGAGTGTGTGTGGATAGAAGAGGTGATAAAGGATGACCGGTTCTACACGAAGTCCCCCTGTGTTCATGGGCACGTACGTTCAGTTTTGCCAATGTAGGAAATTGGCATTTAGGTACAATAATTCATCTGATATGCGGGGCATTTAGGTACAGTCATTCATTTGATATACGAGGCAATTAGGTAGAGTCATTCATTTGATATACGAGGCAATTAGGTAGAGTCATTCATTTGATATATGGGGCATTTAGGTAGAGTCATTCATTTTATATACGGGGGCATTTAGGTA